GATCTTCATCAGTAAGTGCTTTAAGTCCTCTTGATTTTCAGCAAGCAAGGTTGTGTCATCTGCATAGTGCAGGTTGTTAACGAGTCTTCCTCCAATCCTGATGCCATGTTCTTCTTCGTATAGTCCAGCTTCCCGGATTATTTGCTCAGCATGCAGATTGAATTACCCATTGCCATTGAGTAGATTCTGACTCATAGAGACCCTATAGGACAAAGTAGTACTGCCCCACAGGGTTTCCAAGGAGTGGCTGGTGGATTCGAACTGCTGACCTTTTGGTTAACAGCCAGACCCTTAACTACTGTGCCAGCAGGGCTCCAGATTGAATAAGTATGTCAAAAAGATACAACCCTGATGCACACCTTTCCTGATTTTAAACCACGCAGTATCCCTTTGTGCTGTTTGAACAACTGCCTCTTGGTCTATGCACAGGTTCCACATGAACATAATTAAGTGTTCTGGAATTCCCGTTCTTCGCAATGTTATCTGTGGTTTTTTATAATCCACATAGTCAAATGCCTTTGCGTAGTCAATGTGACATTTAGGAGGATGTGGCGTTTCTCCTATTATTAAGAGGCAAAATCTTACTGTGTGATCTACTCTTTTTAGTTACTGGTTTTTAACAAGTTTTTAGTAATTTTAGTAATTTTTCTATTGTATTTTTCTAGCTTTAAGAGGCTCCTGAAAAATTAATCAGACTAATTTCAGTATTAGGAATCTTCTGAATAAAGTATTCTACACATAGCTAGATGTAAATTAACCTTTCATAGTTTTTTCTCACAGACACTTGTTCTAGAAATTAAGACTTTAATTCTGTATTTATTAATCCCAGAATATCCCCTTTAATTTAACAAGCTGTTGATCCTTCAAATAAAATTTTCAAAATATGTATTCTTTTATAATTTTAAATATTAATTGTGTGCTTACAGCTATTTTCTCCTAACGGTGTTAAGCTGAATTTTTAAATCAGAATAGTTTGAGGGTATTTAAATAATAATTTAATTTTGGAGTTAATAATTTTTGGTTATCTTCATGGCTCTTTTCATCAGTGGGTGGAAATATTTATGATTTTTTTAAAAAAATCAATTCTTTTTTCAAGTTTTGAAATTTTACTCTTGGCTCTTAATTCACTTCTGTGTACGGGGCAATTTTAAAACCTTATTAAGACACGCTAACACAGACATCCGTTATTAAAACCATGTTTTAAAAATGTCCACTCCACTAGTGAAGGTCAACCTAATTACTGTTATTAATTTTATTGTTTCCTGACTAGGATAGACAAGAATTTCTTCAGTGCAAACTCTCAGCCTCTAGTTCCCTGTAAGTGCAGTTTGGGAAATGTCGGTAGATTTACACCTCCCAGTGCCAGTTATTATTATCATTTTGGGACAAGTGGATTGGGGAGCGGGGGAGAAGCCTTTCAGGGCAGCTGTACAAATCCCTATAGACTGAGTAACACCTGAAGGAAAACAGACGCTGGTGTGATGCCCTTCCTCCCACTGCCACCCCTAGCCATGCAATCCCTCTTCCAGCTTGCTGAAGCATCTACCTATTCTTCAGAATCCACTCCATGGGAATTTGTTGTTAGTGTTAATAACTCCACAAGCACAAATGCAGGTTGTATGTTGGAGCAAACTTCTATCTGAAGGAAAATAGATGACGTGCTAGATGCAGTTAGGAAAAGCCATTTCTGACCCCCAGAATGAAAAACCCTGGTTGGTTTCTTTGCCTTGATATTTGCCTTGTGTATTAAATTGCCTTCTATCAGACCTGGTATTTAGATGTTTGGTCGAGTAAAATTTTCTCCATTTCTGCCTTTAATCCCAAGTAATTCTTTAGTTTTATTTAGTCTCATAAGTAAACATTGAATACTGTGTGTCAGCTACTGGAAACAAGACCATTGCCACTGTCTTCAAGGAATTCGCTGTCCAAAGGGGAAACTAGGTATAAGAGGAACTAGAATATGATGTGCACTTGTTGTCAGTGTTGAGATCACAGATTAGGGAGGGAGAGGATCATTCCACCCTTGAGGAGTGTGTGTTTATGTTTATAACAACCTAGCGTTTGTATCACTATTAAAATGTTTGTGTTGGGGATCATGGTTGATAACTATCTTATAAGTTAGCTGTATTGCATTACCTATGTAATGTTTTAGTTAATGCTTTCAGGGATAGACATTATTTCAGCTTCAGTTTACCCTGAACAAAATACTAATGAGGTGTTTTGTAAGGAGTAACAGCAGCACCCTCTTTTGAAGGCCTATTGGGTGCAGGATGCTGAGCTCTGTGAGGACACACGTAGTTATATGCACAGTTCCTCCTTTGAAAGGAGTGGTCTTTTTAGGGGGAAATAACATTTAGAGAGAGGACTATACAGTACATCAGCAACTTAAATTTCTATGCGGCTCAGTGGTTTTTAATGCATCTTCACATTATAATCTTTATGATAACCCTGTAAGGAAAGTTATTTAATCACTCAATTTATAGATAAGAAAGTAAGTGGTTTCCCCAGAATTACATAACTAATGTGTGACAGAGCCAGCACTAGAATCCACTTCAGTTTTTATCTACAGCACTGCCTGCTTTGACCTACGCCAGACAGAGCAGTTAATGTGGAAACGAGAGACACACACGAGGCCTCAGGAGACCTGTTCAGATACCAGAGAGTACATCAGGATCTGTTTGCAAAGACAAAGTGAAGCCTGGGATGGACCAGGGGCCCTGGTGGCACAGTGGATAAGAGCTTGGCTGCTAACCAAAAGGTCGGCAGTTGGAATCCACTAGCCGTTCTTTAGAAACCCTGTGGGGCTGTTCTGCTCTGTCCTGTAGGTCGCTGTGAGTCGGAATGACTCGAGGGCAAAGGGTTTGGTTTTGGTTTTGGAATGGACCAAGACCAGATGCCTAGCAAAGAGCAAAAACTGAAGTCTGAGTTGAGGAAAGTCCAGGAAGCGGAAGGAAAATTTGGGGTGAGAGCAGCTAGGGATTTTGTGAAGAGACAAGAGAGGAGATATGGGAATTTGTGAGGGCAGCTTCAGGCAAAGGCAAAGTCCTGTCTGAAGGCTGAGTTCCTCCCCTTCTGGTCTTAAAAACACACTGAGTGCTGAACCTGAATAGTAAAGCCTGAGGTCCATTTATTTGTGGTTTGCATGGATTACACAGGCATGTGTGAAGGGTTGTTGTAAGGCTGGCCCTATTTTATATATTTTATTTCAAAGGTTTATATTCTAGAAATGCACTTTTTGAACTTTGTGTGTTGGTGGAAATGTTAGGAATCTTCAACATTCCAAGTGTCAACATGTGACCAGTGGCTACCAAACAATAAAAACATGAACTTGATTTTTTTAAAAAGTAATCGATGTACATGTAAAAATATTAGAGTGTTCAAAAAGGGTAAAAGTTCAAGTATCTTCCTCTGCCTTCCTCTCAACATCTGTTCTTTCTTCAGAGGTATCTACTATTAAATCTGTTATTTGTATCATTTCAAGGAAAAGAAAAGTATGTCTGCCACAATTTTATATGTATATACTTTTATAAATTACAAAATTTCACTATACTAGGTATACTGTTTGATTTTTATTTTTTAAATTAAAAATGTATCTTAGAGATATCGACACAGCAGTGTGTTAGCTCTACCTCCTTTATTGTTCCTGTTTGGAATTTGTAGGTTCCCTATTCATAGGCTTTTAGGTTGTTGCTAATCTTTTTGCTATTCAAACAATGTTGTAACATACATGGCCATAGTTTTGTGTGTCTGTAGGGAGATTTCCTAGCAGTGCAATTGCTAGATCAAAGGGTAAGAACGCAACCTCTCTAATGGCCCTCTATGATAACTGCTGTTTGTAGGCTCAGAAGGAGTGCAAAATATAGGGCAGGATAGGACATAGATAATAAAGACAGGAAGAAGAGGAACCAGAGGTAAAAATAAGGGTTAAAAGAAATTTTTTTTTTCAAAATTATTTGTATCAAACAAATAGAAAGAGAACAGCAAAAAATAAAAATAAAAAAATAAAAAAAAAGCCCACAGCCACCAGAAAAAAGGAAATAATAAAGAGCAGAGCAGAAATAAATGAAATAAAGAATAGAAAGACAATAGAAAGAATCAACAAAACCAAAAGTTAGTTCTTTGAAAGAATCAAGAAAATCGACAAACCACTGGCCAGACTGACAAAAGAAAAACAGGAAAGGATGCAAATAACCCAAATAAGAAATGAAATGGGCAACATTGCAACAGACCCAACTAAAATAAAAAGGAATATTATGTAAAACTATACTCCAACAAATTTGAAAACCTAGAGGAAATGGATAAATTTCTAGAAACACACTACCTACCCAAACTACAACAAAGTGATGTTGAAAATCTG